CAGGGCTCACCTGAAGCAGTGCTCATGTTTTACCCAAAGCAGGGCTGATGTTCACCAGAAGCGGGGCATGAGCTCACCCAATGTGGGACTCAAACTCATGAACCATGAGATCATGACCTGAGCCAAAGTCAGATGCTTGACAACTGAACCACCCAGGCACCCCTATGCGTGGCCTTTCAGTCTTAACGCAAGGAAACAGTTGGCCCTCCTCTAACAAGAAACAGTCTTTCAGGGAAGGTTGAACTTTCGATATGGATAGCCCATCAAGTTTCAGAGGCTGAGGATTCTATGTAGCAGTGGAATGTTCTGACAGATTTTGGCTAAGGTCCAGGAGAGGAGGCAAAGGTGGGCTAAGAATGGCCACCACCTGAGAAAATGAATCACCCATCAGCCGACATCTGTTTCCAAACCACTGGAATAGTCGTGAAAATAATTCATATAATCAGAATTTGAAGAATGATAAAATTATGCACTCCCAGGTACAGAACAAAATATACTGTCTCTATTATTCTGCTTACCTTTCTCTTTTTAATTTTAATTTCATTTGAATTATTTTGAATAGGTATTATATTCACATGCATAGAAGTGTCCAATGAAGTCTCCCCTTCTATCTGTGCGCCCAGCCTCCAATGCCTCCACCAGAAGGTAAGCCGTGGTACCAGCTTCTTGTGGGACTTTCTAAGGGCAGCAGGCTACAGTATAGAATCACGGCTTTGGGAATACCTTGACATAGCTTCAATTATTAGTTCTAACCAGACTAGCTGTGTGACCTTGGGTGAGTTACTTAGTTCCTTTGAGCTTCAGTTACCTTATCTGTAGAATTCTTACCAGGCAGAGGCAAGGATTAAGTACTGCAGGTAAGGTACTCAACACACAGCTTTTACCGAAGTAAGTGCTAAACACGGACAGTTTCAACTTTTGTTGCTAATTTTTAGTACTTTTCTGACACAGATTTCCTGATCATTATTTAAGATATTGATCTTCTCCTAGTCTCTGGGAATGAAATCGAATCTAAAAGAGTCAAAGCTGGCTTTTGCCTTAATAGTCCCAATTCAGGACCCAAAGCCCAAATGTGGAAAAAAAATCTGATCCAATTTTACTGGGTGAAAGTAGGCACGTTTGTATTACAGCAATGTGAAAAATACTAGAAGCTGCTTTCAACACCAGGAAAAAATATTTTTAAAAAATTTTTTAATGTTTATTTTTGAGAGAGAGAGAAAGAGCGAGCAAGCAGGAGAGGGGCAGAGAGAGAGGAAGACACAGAATCTGAAGCAGGCTCCAGGCTCTGACCTGTCAGCACAGAGCCCACACAGGGCTCAAACCCATGAACCGTGAGATCATGAACTGAGCCAAAGTTGGACGCCCAACCAATTGAGCCACTGAGATGCCAGGAAAATTTTAAGTGGACTGTATCTAAATAAGACATCTTACCTTCTCATAGTAGATGCTTAGACATCCTAGAGCATAGACCAGGAAAAAGGCCTAAAAACAGAGCAAGCAGAAAATGCTCATTAGAAACTGTCCCACATTCTTGAGAAGTTATTTTACAGACTGATTTCTCTTTGCCTCAAGTACAAACTAACATCCTTAAATCATCTTCAAAATGGTGACATTTTTTAACATAAATGATTCATGCAAATTTAAAGGATTTAAAAAACATCTAAGAAAATATAAAAGTCACAAATTGGTTAAAAATCAATTAAAAAGGCATTTGTATGATATTTCCATGTATTTTTCCCCTTAAAAATCACACAGCTAAACTGGAAAATGATGTAAATAGCTGTAACAACAGCAACTTTTGCTCATTAGATTTTCCTCTGTAAAATTAAATAACCATATTAAACTGAGAAAAAAATTTACAGAAAGAAATATATGGAAATTTGTGAAAAGTAGGCAGTGCAGATTAACATGAGTTTTTTAGTCACCCATGCAGTAAAGTGATTTCCTATTAAGTAATCCCTATCTTTCCATAAACTTCATTATATGGTAACTTTTTTTCCCCCCCAAATGTTTGTTTATTTTTGAGAAAGGCGGGGGGGGGGAAGCATGAGTGGGGGAAGGGCAGAGAGAGAGAGGACAGAGGATCTGAAGCAGGCTCTTTTGCTGGCAGCAGAACCTGATGGGAAGCTCGAACTCATGAACCGCGAGATCAGGACCTGAGCTGGTCGGATGCTTAACTGACTAAGCCACCCAGGCACTCCCATTATACAGTAACATGTTTTACTTGTATGAGGAGGCAGGAGGAAAAGCAAGGAAAGTCAGCTCTAGTTGAGTAAAATCATACTTGGAAATAAAAATAGTTTTTTAAAAAAGTTTATCTTTTTGAGTAACCTTACACTGAACATGGGGTTTAAACTCCCAACCCTGACTACTGACTGAGCCAGCCAGGTGCTGCAAAAGTGATAAAAGTTAAGACAATGCCAAACATGGATACCACAAAATAGACCCTGTTTTTCACTCTACTTGTAGAGGGGAAAAGGATTCATGTTTACACCTGAACAGACTTACGCAAAATTGCTGTGTACTAGTGGCTAAATGGTGGCTATTAGTAAAACTGGGTTACTTTCTGTATAAATATGAGGATGGGAGATTCATTTACAACCAAACGACAAACATTATGCTGCTGCTGCCACCTGGCACAGATGAGGAGGGCCCTCTTATGGAGTGTGGCAACCGAGATGCAGTCCCCAGCCAGAAAGGAGTGGTAGGTTTTTATCAAGAAAGGATGCTGTATTTTGTCAAATGCTTTCTCTGCATCTATTGTGAGGATCATGTGCTGAATCAGAAAAATATGCAGCCAAGAATTCTTTATAGCAAGGCTGTCATTTAAAATAGAAGGAAAGGGGCACCTGGATGGCTCAGTCAGTTAAGCGTCCGACTTTGGCTCAGGTCATGATCTTGCAGTCCGTGGGTTTGAGCCCCGCGTCGGGCTCTGTGCTGACAGCTCAGAGCCTGGAGCCTGTTTCAGATTCTGTGTCTCCCTCTTTCTCTGACCCTCCCCTGTTCAAGCTTTCTCTCTCTCTGTGTCAAAAATAAATAAAATGTTTAAAATTTTTTTTTTTTAAATAGAAGGAAAGATAAAGAAATTCCCAAACAAAAACTAAAGGAGTTCGTGACCACTAAACCAGCCCTGCAAGAAATTTTAAGGAGGACTCTTTGAGCGGAGAAAAAACAAAACAAAAAGACCAAAAGCAACAAAGACTAGAAAGGACCAGAGAACATCACCAGAAACACCAATTCTACAGGCAACACAATTCAAAAATCACTTGAAATGTAAATGGACTAAATGCTCCAATCAAAACACATAGGGTATCAGAATGGATCAAAAAACACAAGACTCATCTATATGTTGGCTACCACAGACTCATTTTAGACCTAAAGACACCTGCAGATTGAGAATAAGGGGATGGAGAACCATGTATCATGCTACTGGATGGCAAAAGAAAGCCAGAATAGCCATATTTATATCAGACCAACTAGATTTTAAAACAAAGGCTGTAACAAGAGATGAAGAAGGACACTGTATCATAATGAAGGGGTCTATCCACCAACAAGACCTAACAATTCCAAATATTTATGCCCCCAACTTGAAAGCACCCAAATATATAAATCAATTAATCACAAACATAAAGAACTCATTGATAAATAATACCATAATAGTAGGGGACTTTAACACCCTATGTACAACAATGGACAGATCATCTAAGCAGAAAATCAAAAGGAGACAATGGCTTTGAATGGCACACTGGACCGAATGGATGTAACAGACATATTCAGAACATTTCACCCTGAAGCAGCAGAATACACATTCTTCTTAAGTACACATGGTACATTCTCCAGAATGGATCACATACTGGGTCACAAATCAGCCCTCAACAAGTAAAAAAGATCAATATCCTACCATGCATATTTTTAGACCGCAACGCTATAAAAGTTGAAATCAACCACAAGAAAAAATTTGGAAAGACCACGAATACTTGGGAGACTAAAGAACATCCTACTAAAGAATGAATGGGTTAACTAAGAAATTAAAGAAATTAAAAAGTACATGGAAGCCAATTAAAATGAAAACATGACAGTCCAAAACCTCTGGGATGCAGCAAAGGCAGTCATAAGAGGGAAATTTATAGTAATCCAGGCCTTCCTAAAGAAGGAAGAAATGTCTTAGATATACAACCTAACCTTACTCCTAAAGGAGCTGGAAAAAGACAGCAAATAAAGCCCAAAACAAGCAGAAAAAGGGAAATCATAAAGATTAGAGCAGAAATCAGTGATATTGAAATAAAAAAAAACAGAACAGAGCAATGAAACCAGGATCTGGTTCTTCAAAAGAATTAACAAAATTGATAAACATCTAGCCAGATTTATCAAAAAGAAAAGGACCCAAATAAATAAAATAATGAATGAAAGAGAAGAGATCATAACCAACACTGCAGAAATACAAACAATAGGAGAATATTATGAGCAATTATATCCCAACAAATTGGGCAATCTGGAAGAAACAGACAAATTCCTAGAAAGATATAAACTACCAAAACTGACACAGGAAGAAATAGAAAATTTGAAGAGACCCATAACCAGTAAGGAAATTGAATCAGTAATCAAAAATCTTCCAACAAACAAGAGTCCAGGGCCAGATGGCTTTCCAGGGAAATTCTACCAAACAATTAAAGAAGAGTTAATACCTATTTTTTTGAAGCTGTTCCAAAAAACAAAAACAGAAGGAAAACTTCCAAACTTATTCTATGAGGCCAGCATTATCTTGATTCCAAAATCAGACAAAGACCCCACTGAAAAGAACTACAGACCAATTTCTCTGATGAATATGGATGCAAAAATTCTCAACAAGATACTAGCAAAGTGAAGCCAACAATGCATTAAAATAATTATTCACCATGACCATTGGGATTGATGGGCTGTATGGTTGATTCAATATCCACAATTCAATCAATGTGATACATCAGATTAGTTAAAAAAAAAAAAAAAAGATAAGAACCACATGATCCTCTCAATAGATGCAGAGAAAGCATTTGACAAAATACAGCATCCTTTCTTGATAAAAAAAAACTCAAGAAAGGAGGGATAGAAGGAACATACCTCAAAATCATAAAGGCCACCTACGAAAGACCCACAGCTAATATCATCTTCAAATGGGGAAACTGAGAGCTTTCCCCCTAAGGTCAGGAACATGCCAGGGATGTTCACTTTCTCCATTGTTGTTCAACATAGTGTTTGAAGTCCTAGCCTCAGCAATCAGACAACAAAAACAAAAAGCAAGCAAATCAGCAAGGAAGACGTTAAACTTTCACACTTCACAGATGACATGATGCTCTTTTGGAAAACCGAAAGACTCCACCAAAAAACTGCTAAAACTGATACATGTATTCAGCAAAGTTGCAGCATATAAAATCAATGTACAGAAATCAGTTGCATTTATAGACGCCAATAATGAAGCAGTAGAAACAGAAATCAAGGAACTGATCCCATTTACAATGGCACTGAAAACCAAAAATACCTGGGAATAAACCTACCCAAAGAGGTAAAAGATCTGCATGCTGAAAACTACAGGAATCTTATGAAAGAAACTGAAGACACAAAGACATGGAAAAACATTTCATGATCATGGACTGGAAGAACAAATATTGTTAAAATGTTGATACTACCCAAAGGAATCTACACATTCAATGCAATCCCTATCAAAATAATACCAGCATTCTTTACAGAGCTAGAACAAACAATTCTAAAATTTGTATGGAACCAGAAAAGACCTGGAATAGCCAAAGTAATGTTGAAAAAGAAAATCAAAGCTGGAAGCATCACAATTCCAGACTTCAAGCTGTATTACAAGGCTGTAATTATCTATTTTTGGGACAGAGAGAGACAGAGCATGAACGGGGGAGGAGCAGAGAGAGAGGGAGACACAGAATCGGAAACAGGCTCCAGGCTCTGAGCCATCAGCCCAGAGCCTGATGCGGGGCTCGAACTCACGGACCGCGAGATTGTGACCTGGCTGAAGTCGGACGCTTAACCGACTGCGCCACCCAGGCGCCCCAAGGCTGTAATTATCAAGACAGTGTGGTACTGGCACAAAAACAGACACATAGATCAATGCAACAAAATAGAGAACTCAGAAATGGACTCACAAATGTATGGCCAACTACTCTTCGACAAAGCAGGAAAAGAGTATCCAATGGAATAAAGACAGTCTCTTCAGCAAATGGTGCTGGGAAAACTGGACAGCGACATGCAGAAATATGAACCTGGACCACTTTCTTACACCATACACAAAAATAAACTCAAAATGGGGGCGCCTGAGTGGCTTGGCTGGTTAAGTGTCCAACTTCAGCTCAGGTCATGAGCTGATGGTTTGGTGAGTCTGTGCCCCATGCTGGGCTCTCTGCTGACAGCTCAGAGTCTGGAGCCTGCTTCGGATTCTGTGGCTCTCTCTGTCTCTTCCCTCCCCTGCTCACACTCTGTCTCTC